GGCTCTCGAAAGGACCAAGCCATCATCCAAGCCTTTCTGAACCATCGCGGGCTGCACATGCTCGTCAGCTGCTTGCTCTCTGTCCGATTGAGCCCATCGATCAAGGCGCAAGGATGGCAGTCCTTATGCTTGGTGCTGCAGAATGTGAAGGACAGAGATGTGTCAATGCCAACTACTTATCGATGCCCACCGGCACACAACATCAAGGCATAAGGTGCCGAAGGTCATTGAAGTAAAAAAAGAAAACATGTCTCCCTATGGCAAGTATTTAATGAGTGACATGAATGAACTACATGCTTTGGATTGAGTCTTGACTGCAGGATTACACGTTTGACCAGCTCATCCAAGAAGAGGGGGCTGCTCTTAACCAGCTCTTCTCCGAGCCAGATCTCTCCGTCCAGGAGCGACGTGTGGTTTCGTTTCGAAACGCTTTTGTTCGGTGGAGAGATGTTCGTTTGTTTTCCAAAGAACACGTGTCATTGACCGTGTCAAAGCCATGGGAAAACGAACTCTCGAAATCTTCAACAGAAACAGGTGCAAGCCTTTGGCAAAAGAAAAGGCACCTCGTGCTCGTCAGGAGCACCTGCAATCCTTTGTCTCGGCCCTGAAGACCGTTTGCACGCGCACCAGCGTGGAGAGCCTCCGAAATTTGATGACAGGAGATCGCGACTTGCCGGTGTTTCGCAGGGCCGTGGCTTACGCGGCCTACGAAGAAGCTCTGGTGCGAACGCAGGCGCGCAACGCCCAGCTCTCGCTTTGGCGAACGCTCAAGCAGAACCAGGAGCTACTGTGCATCGCCTTGGACATTGCAAGATCCGAGATGCTCGGTTTGGTCATCAGTGTTTCACTATATGTTTGGTGTTGATGTTCAAAGGTCTGCACTTGCACTGCAAGACGTGTGCATAGCTCACACTTGGAGCTTATGGCCCTTCTTGCTAGCACGTTCCGGTCCAAGGTTGCCGATGCTCCTGTGCACCCTGTTGCGGAAGAACTGGCTCATGATGGCCCAAGCTTCAATGCAGCACAACGAATCACTCTTCCGAGTTGGGGCAGAATGCGAAGAGGACCCAAAGGGGCAAGTGAAGTTTGATGAGTGTTGCCGGGTTTGGGAGGTGGATTTTGGAGGAGTCCTCTCCCTGGAATTAATATGGAAGTGGAAAACCACCTGTTTGTAGTGGAAAATGGTCTTCCAAAGGGCCATTCTCCACTTCCATGTTAGTTGCAGGGAGTGTACATCACCCAAAATCGAGATGAAGTTCGCCACCACCTGTCAGGGTCATTGGATTTGCATGGCTGGCGGTAAGAGCTACGCTCGGAGCTGACGCGTGCGACGCCCGTCCAGGACCTCTGGGACTTTCTGGGTGAACTTCTTTCCTTGAAGCTACCAGAGATGGCCGAGCTGATCTCCGGCATGGTGGTGGGAAGCGTCGTGGCCCACTTGAGCTCATTGACTTCGATGAAGGCAACGGCAAACCACTGGGGCATAGCTTTTCCGACGCTTGAAACATCAAAAATAGCAGCTTTTGGGGGGTGAGGATTGCAGCAATGAAGCTGGTGAAAAAAATGCGCCATGTTCAGTACTGGTACCTGGGGGGTTCTTCCCACCGTTGAGGGTGTCGCAGTAAACTTGGGGTTGCCACCTTCTTCTTTGGTCACGTGGCCCGATCTCGAGGAATGTCGAGGCGATCTCCTCGGGGCATCTCCTTGACGTTCTGCCCTCTCCCAGTCCCTTCAGTCGATCCTGCCAAAGTACTGCATCTACGGCATCCTCTTCAGGGGAACCAAGCTGCCTCCTCGTTGAATTTACAGCTTGTGGATTGGCAGGTGCTGCACAGGCTGCCGAGCTTTGTGCGGCACCTCCGCCCATGTCCAATGACCTCAATGTGTCCCTGACACTGCGAACAGTGGCCATTTACGCAAGAACACTTCGCGAGATAGGTATTGGTTGCGCACTGATGCCGATCATTGAGTTATTTGGACTTAGCACTTAGCTTCAACGTTGTCTTTCTATGCTTCAAGCAACTGCTCAAATCCATGTTTGTCAGTGTATTCTTGTTTTATTCAGAAGCTCATGGTGTTTGCTGCAATTCCAGTCATACACACTGGCTTGCGAAACCAGAAATATGTCGAGTAAGAAACGATGCGGATGCATGCTTTGTATAATATCCTGCTCCAGTGTTTGCATCTCCCATGCTTCCAGCAGGGGTTGGCAAAACTGAGGCTCCTCCTTTTACCATCCGTGCCTTCCAAACAGATCGATGCAATGGAACAGCTTGCTGGTGGCTGGGTCACTGAGGCGGGGGTTGGAAAGCTGGAAGAATGTTTCAGGCTCAGAAGTGCCTGGCAACTCCCATGGGTAGAAGATGGTAGAAGACAGAATCTGCCCTTCCGGTATCCATACTGATCACTGATCACACTACCATGACACCAATTCCACTGATCACACTACCATGACACCAATTCCCTTCTGATTTGGAGATAGAGAGTAGCTCCATGGTCAACAAGATTGTTTGTTGTAGAGAGGTTCTTATTTTTGTGCGTATATGTGTATATGAAATGATATGTTCCTGTTCAATCCAGAGGCTGCAAGGTTTCCAGTACCCTTGTATTTGTTTGCACTTCTTGACCCAAGACTTGTCACAAGACCATCACAAACCACCTGTCACTCCTCACACCCGATAGGGCTTGGTGCGACGTGGAGTGACACGAAAGGTTTCTCGGTTTGCCCGGCGCGCACGGATGTCCGATAAATCCGACACGCCGGGAACCTCCCTCCGCGCAGCCCCTCCGGCACGGCGCAGGACAGTGCAATTGCGTTCGCTGAGGAGTTTGCTGCCCGGGCAATGGAAGATTGGGCTTTGCAACCGCAAATAGATGATGAGCTCTCCGAGGAGGAGAAGACTCTGCTATAGCAAGTGCATCGCTACTAGTTACTAGTAACAAGGGCATTGCTACTAGTAACAAGTGTATCGCTAATGGTAACAAGGGTATCACTACTAGTGACAAGGGCATTACTACTAGTGACAAGGGTATCACTACTAGTGACAAGGGTATCGCTACTAGTAGCAAGTTCATCGCCACTAGGAGAAGAAGACTCTTTTGGAGCAAGCCAAGAAGCACCGTGATGAGCCCCGAGCCAGCAAGTGAATGCCTTTCAGGTCCATGCTGCACGTCATAGACTGCAAGATACTGCAAGGACATGTAAGGACCTTTACATCCTTCATGCTTTGGATACGTTTGCTGTCGGAGGTCTCAGTCTCCCTTGTGTGAGTGGTAGTAGTCCCATGTCAACACACTGTTCGTGCATCGTGTGGACAAGGTATTGGCAGAAGGAGTTGCGCACTGCAGCTGCGATGACCGGGCGCAACATGGTGCCCAATCCCTTTCGGGAGGCCTTCCTGGCCATGCTGGATGTCACAGCTGGTATGTCGGAATCGCTCACGTTTCGTCACCTGGCGATGTCACCTGCCACATGCAATTCCCCACACCCATTCGTGTTTCTGACATGTTTTTTCGGATTCTTTTCAAATTTGAGGTAGGCAACTTAGACAACTGATCGTATATTATATACCAGCTAGTATATATGATCAGTTGTCTAACATATAGGTGTTGATAACTCCTGTTTTAAAAACTACACCCATGAACCATGTCTTCACCGATTCTCGACTCAGGAGCCAATTGCAACCTGAAGTCTGTCCAGTCGGTGGACGGAAAGACAGCCGCCAGCATTGCGATGACCGAGCTTCAACTCACGTGACTTGGACAAAAAACGATGCGTTCCACGTCGCGTCCAGCGGGTTTGAACGTCGAGGGAGGAATCGTTAGCTTCGTCGTCGGTTTCACCAGCGGGTTTGATCGTTTAGCTTGGAGTGCGTGGCCTTGAAAGGGCTCCGATCAGAAGGGGGGGTTGTTCTCAAAAGCGAACGGAGCGCACCAAGCGTTGGTCGTTCGCCACCCACGTGGCTTCGCCACCTCGGCCGCCCGAGGTATCCTCAGCTCCTGGAGGATACGAGGGTGCTGAAGCACGGCACGGTGCCCATCATTGAGGAGCCAGAGAAAGCTCCAACGATTTCAAGTTGGGCAGAAGGACTCGCCTGGTTTCTTCAGGTTCGGTGCACCGCTGTTCCATGCCGTTTTGAACGCCGGGCAGTTGAACGCACCCTCCCAAAGGGGTGAGGGTGTTTTGGGGGACTTTGGGGAGTGATATGGGGGGCCTATGTAAGCTCAAGCTGGGCGTCTTTGGAGTCATTTTGGAGTTCCCTGAGGTGGGAGCTAATGGCTGCACCTGAACACATCGTTGTGAGGGGTACATGTGGCCCGTCGTCCCATAGGTGGACGGTACTCGCTGCGGTGTCACACAGCTGGGCAGGCTGGGGGCGACGTTGAAATTCCGCCTTCAGCCAAACCCGACGCCGTAGCCGTGCGAAATGACCAGATCATAGCTTTATCGAAGAAGGAAAGGCCGTGCCGCGTGCCTTTGGGGAACCAGCTTTTTCCGGGATTGGGCACCTCAACGAAGGGTGTCCGTGCTACGTGCTAGTC